TTTTTCTCTATTTTTCTCCTTTTTATCTAGCTTCTCTTTTTAGCTTTTAGTTCTTCATAAGAGAAGAACTACTGGGAAGAGTTTAAAATCCTTACTCCATGTGTGTAAAACCCCAGGAAATTGCCAGGTTGGTATGAAACCAGACTTGGACGTTGACTATTCCCTGACAGGGCCCGGCTCCTCTCCTCATACTTGTTGAGTAAGCTCTGCTTCACTGAACAGTTTCTTTCTTTTTTGTTCCTCCCACAACCCGAGTGCCCCGTGGAGGTGAAGGACATAGCCGGAGCCGGAGCCATCAGTCAGTAGAACAAATGGGCTTGCTCTGCCTAACATCGGGCCATCTCAGATTCCACCTCCTTTATAGAAATGAGTGATGAAGAGAGCTGCGTTCCGCTTTGCTGCTGTATTAATACACATCAGGGGCCAGCTCCTGGCACTAAATCACGGTGCTGCATACATCTGTTATCAGACTCTTCACCAGTGTGATGAACAAGACTGCAGATAGAGGCTTCCTTGTGTCATTCTTTATAGGATTTCCCTAAAAGAATAAATAGCTCAGATCTCTGCCACACTCTCCCCTGTCACCGTGATGAATTCAGCGTCTTTCCTAAATATGCAGCCACAAATCTTTCCCCTGCTCCCCTCCCCCATTGGAAAAAGTTTGGGGTTGAAATGGACTGACTTTAAAGATATTAATAAGGCTGGAGAAGCGAAGAATGGGCAGGAACAACTTCACTTCCTTGTGTTTGTGCTCATATTAAAAGACAGGGGAAAGACCATTTCAGAGGGCCGGTATGCAGATGTGTTTGAAAGTGTGGCACGTTATATCTATCTCCCTTCTTGTCCCCTCTATGTCCTGGCAGCATGCGGGTGTCTGGTGGACTGCACTGTAGTGGGGAGCCGTGCTAACCTGCCTCTAAGTCTGATCGCCAGAACACAGACTGCCCCGTGAGTCTCTGCCTCTTGCTCAAATGAACTAGCAGTAAACTGAAAACAAAAAAAACCTGTTGCCGATGAGTTGATGCTCTTAAAGAACATAACTGGAAAAGGAAAAAATGGATTCCTTTCCTCCAAAATGCAATACTAAGTAGCTCATCTAAGGGACTCAGATGAAAACCAGACGTAATTTCCTTGAGATGATTTTTATCCAATGGAAGATCAGAATCTTTGGGATACAAATTCTAACCCTTCAAAAAGTACATATGTGTGTTTAGGTAAAGGGGAATTGGAATAGGAAATTCTTTTCCACGCTCTGACTCTCTTAGCTGTTGGGAAAGCCTTTTCTGATCTTCATTTCCTTGGAGTTGGATACTGCATCTTGGAAGGGTACCCAGCAATTCATCTGTTTATCAGTTACATCTGATCCTGAATTCCAGGCCAGCGATGCTATAGATGCATTTGCAACGACAGGGTTTTTTTAATATGTTGTATTCACTGCTGTACCTACCCGTGGCATATAGAATAACACCTAGCATTTAGAACAAGCCCAGTAGTTATTTGTAGTATGAATGAGTGAACAGTATTCTTAAAGTTGACAAAGAGTTACACTTGGTAGTATTCCAACACCATGGTTGGATTCAGTTGCTCCATTTTAGTTTGGTCAATTGTCCTGGGAGTTACAGGGTAGATTCTTATTGTGTATTTATTTATTTTTGAATACTGAATGGCTATACAGGATATTTATAGAAGACATAAGGTAATAAATGTTGTTAGTTGCCGTTGAGTTGGTCCTGGCTCATAATGACCCTGCATAGGGTTTCCAAGGAGCATCTGGTGAGCTTGAACCGCCAACCTTGCAGTTCAAACTGACCTTGTGATCCAACACATTTACCCACAGCACCACACTATAATAATATACAAATACAGGAAATACCCGTATACATAATTTTCACTTTTGAAAAAGAGCATCACCTTTAACATCATCATCTCATCTCTGTCTCTCCTCAGAGGTAACAATTATCTTAAGTTTTGTATTTATCATTCTTTAGTTTTTTAAAAATATTTTGAACAGATGTATCGCTAAGCAATATATTGTCTACGTTTGCATGTTTTTGAGCCTTGTGTAAATGGAATCAAACTGTCATCTTTTACAAATTATAAATTTTACCCACTTCTGTTCTTGGGAATCATTCATGTTTTGTCCTGCCAACTTTCATTCATTTTTACCACCATATATTTCCTTGTATGTGTATGATGAATGTACTACAGTTAAGCGTTCTTGATGAACATTAGATTGTGTGCCATATTATGTTATCGTGAATAATGCTGCATTGAATGTTTCTAACCCTGTCTTTGAGAGGACACACACACAAATTTCTCATGTAGAGTTTCCTCTGCTGTGTTTTATGACTATGCTGTAAGCACAGGGGAGATTTTGAGACATTTATTTTTAGTTAAATATCAACGTATGTGTGTATGTGGGTGAGGGGAATATTTGGATTTTTGACACCGTGGTTGAGGTTCCAAAACATATGAAAGTCACTGCCCTCAGGAAACTTCATATATGTGCCATTGAGTAGGGTTACCTTTCTTTGGAATGGGCGCAAATGCAAGGATCTCTTTCAGTTGGTTAACCAGGTGTCTTGTCTTCCAAATTCCTTGACATGGCCTAGTGAGTGCTTCCAGCATTGCATCCATTTGTTGAAACCTATCAGTTGCTACCCCATCAATTCCTTGACCCTTGGGTTTTGCCAGTGCTTTCAGTGCGACTTGGACTTGTTCGTTGAGTATCATCAGTTCTCGATCAAAGGTTGCCTCCTAAAGTGGTTGAACGTTGACTAAGTCTTTGTAATAACAATGACTCAGTATATTCTTTCCATCTTCTTTTGATGCTTCCTGCATTGTAGAATATTTTGTCTGTTGAATCCGTCAGTATTGCAATTTAAGGCTTGAATTTTTTTCTTCAGTCTTTCTTCTTGAAAAATGCTAAATGTGTTCATCCCTTTTGGTTGCCTAATCCCAGGACTGTGCACATTTCATTAAAATATCTGACTTTGTCTTCTCTAGTCAGCCCTTGAAATGTTCTGTGTAGCTCTTTCACTTCATAGTATCTTCCATTCGCTGTAGCTACTCTTCAAGAATACGTTTCAGAGTCTCTTCTGAAATACGTTTTGTTGTTTTCTTTTCTGTCTTTTCAGTGACCTCTTGTTTTCTTCCATGTCTGATGTCATCCCACATCTCATTGTGTCTTTGGTCATTATGTCCACCCTTATTCTTGAGGTGGTCTCTAGATTTGGGTGGGATATACTTAGGGTCATTCTTTGGTTCTCCTGGACTTGTTTTAATTTTCTTCAACTTCAACCTGTAAAACCTCATTATGTTATCCCAAATTCTTCCAAGTCCAAATTCCAAATTGATGGTCTATTCCATAGTTGGTCGCTGGCCTAGTTTTGACTGATGATATTGAGCTTCTCCCTCATCTCTATATGTAGATGGAGCTGGTTAGATTCCTGTATCCTCTATTTGGCCACATCCACATGCATAGTCACTGTTTATGTTCTGGAAAAAAGGTATTGGAATGAATAGGTCCTTGGTCTTGCAAAATTTGTCATGTAATCTCCAATGTCATTTCAGTCACTAAGGTTATATTTTCCCAATTCTGATCTTTTGCCCCAACTTTTGCATTCCAAGTACCAGTGACTGTACTTGATTGAAAGTTCAATCAATTTCAGACCGCAGTAGTTGGTAAAAATCTTCAATGTTTTCACCTTTGGCGTTAATGGTTGGTGTGTTCAGTCCCTTAGGGTGCATGTGGAAACGTGAGTGTTTCGTGAGTACTGTTGGCATTCACTGGATGGGGTCCAGATGGGAAGTGCCTTACAATACTAGGATGGCCTTATCCAAGCAACGGTTAGCCTGCTTCAGAATGTCTTTAGACTCCTTGTTGAAAAATACAGAGCCTGTTGTATGATATATATATATTTTTTTCACCATTTTCTTTCTGGGTGACCCTGCCTGCTGCATTGTCCTCTCTCTGCCCTTGTTCTGGTAAGACTGAGATGACAGTTGAGATGCGTGCAGTCAGAACTAAGGCCCTGAGTGTACTGGTGTCTTAACAGTAGAGCGCCTGTTGTTATCATCAGTAACTGTTGTTGTTAAATGCCATCGAGTTGGTTCCGACCTGTAGAGACCCTGTGTAGGATTTCCAAGGAGAGGCTGGTGAGCTTGAACCGCCACCTGTGTGGTTTGTAGTCCAGTGCTTCTATAGCGCCGCCGTGCTCCCATATGTTCTCTAAATAAAGGCCGTCATCAAGCAGGACTTGGCCTAACATGGTACAGCTAGCATGTGTACAGTCAAAAACACACTAATCCCATTATGTTATCTTAGAATTCTCACAAGTGCAAATTCCAACCTGGGACAAAAGTCCTCTTCATCTGAAAATCTAGAATACAAGTTATCAGCTTCCCAGTACAGTGGCGAAACAGTCAAAATGTAGACATTTCCATTACAGACAGGAGCAGTTAGAGGGAAAGAAGGAATAATAGGCACCCCAGCAAAGCAATTTATATTAGCTCATAAGTCTTGAAAATGATCCTCTGTTCTCTCAGACCATCTGGACAGTGGTCCTGCCGTCCGTCCATCCTTTGGACATTGGCTTGGCTATGCACTCTAGATTCTGGGCAGAGGCACCTCAACCCTGGGCTTCAACTCTGCCTTCCAAGCCCACTGGAAAGGCAGCTTTGCTCCCTCAGCTCCAAAGTTTACAACCCATGGGGATGGTGGTGGTGGTGTGCCTTGGAGTCGGTTTTAACTCATAATGACCCCACATAGGGTTTCTGAGGCTGTAAATCTTTAGGGGCACAGAAAACCTTATCTTTCTCCCACAGAATGGCTGGTAGTTTTGAACTGCTGACCTTGCGTTAGCAGCCCGACTCGTAATGTAAAAAAATAAAAGTTATGAAAATTTTGCTTTGAAGTATCTCAGATTCTGAGTTGTCTTTTTCTCATTCATCTCCCCTTGATTTTTACTTCCTTCCTTTCACTGTGACCTCCTTTGCAGGTCACACCGATACAGTGGAGCCAGCCACACCAGCATCTCAAGTCCAGAAGGCTCCAGACTCCGAGTGGTTGATGAAGGCCGCTGACCCAGCTACTGCTGCGTTTTTTAAAATGCCACAAGAAAAGAGTCCTGGATATGCCTAGAGAGCAAGACCTCGCCTTGCCAGCCGCTGACTGACGGCCAAAGCAGGTGTTAGACTTTGTACTGTAGTCTTGTATCTCTTAATTGGCATTCCCTGTCTGTTTGTCCTTCCACCACCAGGACTGTCTCCTCTCCACACCGAGCAAATGGACTCTGTCTCTTTTGGAAAATGATTATTGTGGGAATCGGTTTTAAAAAAAATTAGCAAGTTACTGGGGCAACAAATTTTTAAACGATAATGTCTTGCTCTGCTCTATCTGTTAGATTATTTGCTCTGCTCTATCTGTTAGATTATTTTTGCTGTCCCAGTGTCTACCTGCAGCTCCATTTGCAGAGCTGTTGCTTGTTTTGCAGGCATGGATTTGTAGGTGAAACCTATTGACTGTTTTTGCACACCTTTTGTGTGAGCCTCTAATGTCAGTTGAGGAAGATGCAATGTTACAGTCAGTTCTGGACAAATGGAAGCACTGAGTTCAGGTCTGTGTGGAACTGTGCTTGTCTCCTCAGAGTGCCAATAAGATCAATCACCAATTTCTGATTATGGGGTCCTGAAGATACCAGCAACAGGGTCATGGGGACTTGTTTGTTTCACTGTAGATGATCTGATGGGATTCCCAGTGGTGCATTGTACTTTGCCTCCTCTCCAGAGCTGACTTTCTTCTAAAAGACAGTCTGTGAGTTTGTACAGATTGGTGTCCTGAAGAAGATGGGTTCGGTGCTCAGCAGATTTGAAGTAGTCAGTGGGTTGTTGCTTAATGCGTCATGTTGCAGTGTAAGCTTTTATGTACTAAGTGGGACTTTTATTAGTGATACAGGTCAGTAACTGGAGGCAAAAATTCATACTCTGTTATAATAATGGCTTCTTGGGGCCAGATCTGGGGAGGAAAAGTGTCTCTTCCATGCCTTTCTACTTGGCGTGTTTCTCACGGCTCAGCTGCATGTAGAGTTATATGTACAGCCATGCCTGAAGTTGAATGCTACTTTGTCAGAATGAGGAATAAGTGACTGCCTGGAGCTGTTAAGAAAAGCCAGTCTTTCTAAAAAGTGTGAAGAGTGTCTGCCATTCAGGGGCCTGGTTATCAGGGGTCTCTGTGGGAGGAATGGAGTACTTTCCCTATGAAACCTGAAGACGTTCTCTAAGCTCTCTAATGTTCCAGAAGAACCCCGCTCCTGCACCTGGCTATTTTCTGGGATTCATCGGGCAGGGCTTCCTTTCCTCAAAGCTCAGTTGTCCCCTTTGGTCACCCAGAGTGTAGCAGTGGGCTGCTCTGTCATGTCCCCCATAGTCCTTATCAGTGCTAGTGCCAGAATGCCATCAGTGGGGACAAGCGGAAATGGAGTTGGAAGGAGGGACTGGAAGCTAGTTTACATAGCACTTTATGTCAGGCTGAGAAAATGGCACGTTCCTGTAACAAGGACTATGGTAGAAAAGGGAGCAGATGGCATTTATGTGGGGGGGTGGGGGGTGCAGTGCTAAAACCACCTCAGCCATCCTTGTGAGCCACCCTGGTCCAGAGGGCTTCAAGGCTGCAATTGGCTGTACCCATTAAAGTCCAGTTATGTGTTCCTTAATGTCCATTTGGACAATGTCTGTCCGACCTGGAAGGCCTATAGTCCTGGAAGGTCTTTGTCCATTTTGTTTTTTAAAGGGAACGTAGCTCTCCTTCTGTGTATTTTCCCCTAATGGTTTTAAAGACCCCAAACCCAGACTCTTGTAGCAGCAGATCATGGGTGGATACAGGCAGGTGAGACAGGGCCTGGCTTTGGGTGCAGGTGCTCAGACTTGTGTGGACAGCAGCAGGGGCTATGGTGTCAAACAGCAGGGGAGTTGGGCACGCTCACTTCCTTTCTCTGCCTGCTGCTGCCGCCCATCTCTCCAGCCTCTGCCAGCAGCAGCAGAGGTGGTGACAAGCAGTCTGGAGAAAGGCTCCTGTGGTGTTTGCACAATGTCCAAATCCCATAGCGCCCTACTTCCCAGAACGTATCATGAATATGAGCCCACCAGCTGCTCCGCGGCATAAAGGTGAGGCTTTCTACTCTGGCAAAGGTTTAAAGCCTCGGAAACCCTATACAGGGTCGCTATGAGTCGGCACCGACTCAGTGGCACTTAACAACAATCATGACTATTACACAATCTATACCTGTATACAAAATGTAATGTCTGTAGAATATAAAATGACACAAGTGAGTTTTGTCAGTGGTGAGGGTGGGTTACTCTTTGCATTGTCACCTAGTTTCCGCAGTGATCTGAGAAACATTTTTAAATTATTCAGTTGTGCTCAAAGGTGAGATCTGTGGGCACGATTGTTTTTTTGTGTGTGTGCCCAGCTCCATGGCTTATGCAGAGATGGGTCCTCATGGTGGCTCGTTGAGATGCTCCCGGTCAGGCAGCAAAAGCATTCCTGCGTACTTTCCCCATGACATGTTGCTTCACGTCCTCCCTCTTAGCTGTCATTGAAAACGGATTGATTATAAGTTCATTTATGAACATTTTAAGTGTCTCTGATACTACGGGTAGGTGACTGCTGCCATATCAGACGGAGACAGTCACAGAGTTGAGCGACTTGCCCCAAATCAAACAGTCAAGCTCAAAGTCCAGTCTCAGACTGTCTCTGCCCTGCCTTCATCATCTTTTGCTCTTCATTGCTTGAGCAGAGTCGGTTTAAGACCCCCATTTATGGAACAATCTGTCGTGAGTGTTTATTGACTTCCTCGGCGTGCTTTTCTGCATATTGTATAGACCTACACCTGGGGTCACCCAGGAACGCAGCGTCTCCGTGTTGTAATTGGAGCAGGAGTTCGTTGCCTGTGAGAATAGCTGTTAGCGCACATACTTTTTACCTACAGGGTTGTAGACTGTGCTCCTCGTCTTCAGGTGCTGTGTGTGCATGCTGTAAGAATTATTACCCAACGGCTCTTGTATTCCACGTGCTTTCTGTATGAATCAATTCCAGAGGACTTTCCTTACAATCAAGTGTATTTAAATCTTAAGATTGAAATTTCCTTTTTATATGGCACAGTGTATATTGGTTGACATAAATGAAGAGAATTCTGCCTTTCAGGAAAAGGTAGAATGTCACAAATCGGGTTTCAAAATCAGTGTTGGAAAGAACTCTGATTGGATGATTTACTTTGGGGCGGATCCTTGAACTCACGTGTAATAGCTCACCAGTAGCAACTGAGACTGTTGCACAGTTCTTGTGCATGCCAGGCAGCCGGCTTTACAAACTGCCTGTCCGAATCCCAATTCTGATGTATTTTCAAAGGACAAAAGTCAAAACATTATGTACTTGCTTGAAAAATCATTCATAAAAACTTAATTTGTGTATGAATTCAAGAGTTTGAGATTATTTTTCAGGTGCAGTATTTAAAAGGACAACTTCATTTGTTTCAAAACTCTTATGTTGCTTTTAGGTAAGAATTATTCAAAAGAAGCAATCAGTCACCATGACATGGTGCCAAATTGGTGGGTGGGGTGGGATGGGGGATTGTCAGAGATAGGGTTGAGGAGTTGTTAAGTACCATCGAGGCAGTTCTGACTTAGTGTGACCCTGTATGGAGTTTTTGAGGAGCAGCTATCTGGTGGTTTTGAACTGCCTACTTTGTGGTTCACAGCCTAGTGATTATCCTACAGCACCAGTGTGGAGCACAAGGTTGGTGGTTCAAACTCACCAGACACTTCTTAGAAACACTGTGTAGTCGCTGTCAGCCAGAGCCAACTTGACGACACTTAACAAGAGTTTGGGGTGGAAGACTGTAATTTATTGAGAGAGGTGTGGATGGTAAGCAGGCCCATGTCTAGTCTTGGGATTCTTTAGGAATCAAATACAGTTGAAAATTTCAGGTATTAAAGGCTGCAAATGAGGTCTTTTGGGCAGCAACATAAGCAAATTGAAATAAAGCCTGTGGGTTAACAACTCAAAGTTGTTTGAACTGCAAAGCCGGCAGTTCAAGCTCACCAGCCACTCCTCAGAACTCCTATACAGGGCTGCTATAGGTCAGAACCGACCCGACGGCACACAACAAGAGCAACAATCTGATGTGGACTGCTGGTGTGGCACTGTAGGATCAGTACTGGACTGCCCACAAGGTCAGTGGTTCAAACCCACTAGCCGCTCCTCAGAAACCCTGTACAGGGTTGCTATGAGTTGGAACTGACGCCATAACAATATTTAACTACAACAGTTTGTGGTGTTGTGGCATCCTTAGTCAATTCCATGTCAACACTGTAAGTAATCTAACTTGTTTTGAATCCCAGAGATAGGTCTGTGATAACTTTGCAGTTTGGAATTAGAAATACCACCTCTTCCGTGGCTTGGAGGGTCCTGCTGCTATGAAGTAAGTGGATGAGGAACCCCAGAAATCACTTAGGGCTGAGAGGAGAGCCGGAGGCGCAGGCACGGCGGCTTCTCCACTTTGACTCCTGGGGCTACTGGGCTCACTTCAGGGTTTTCTTCTGTTTGGGCTTTGTTATTGTGGTTCTGAGCCACTGGCTTTCTTGTAAAGAGAAGGTTGTACAAATTTCCACAGTAGAAGTTGTATCCTGTGTTCGTGTGCCCCATGACTCTTCTGAGGTGGGATTGGAACAGGTGGCTTCCCCCAGCTGTTGTTGCAGTCCAGTTGGAGGCATCACTTGGGACCACAGTGCATGGGATGGTGGGAGGGATGGAAGAGGCAGTTGGCTCTTGCTGTCAGCTGTTCACATGGTCAGGGCCTGAGCTGCTAGTTTGCTTGTCAGTATTTTCTTATCTCCCACATGGGCCTGGCACTTCATGGAGTTGGTGGTGATGCACCAGTCTGAATGGACTCTCACCCCATCAGACAACGTACACGGTGGGCGCCCCTTAGGCACTGAATGCAAGTGGCCCAGAGATGCCCCCACCTCCTCTAAAATCACAACACAGACAAAAGGTGAAAGTCTGGGAGCAGCGGCACTGAAAAGGCTTGAAGAAAATGGGCACTTTTGCTGAAGAGTGTGGATGACCAGGTTTTTGATAAGCCC